GCTTTTACTCTCCACATTCGGCTGATCTCCATTTCCAAACTCTTGTATTTAAGGTGTTTCTCTGTCTCCTTGGTCACGAAGTCTTATCGAAGTCTTATCGAAGTCTTATCGAAGTCTTATCGAAGTCTTATCGAAGTCTTATCGAAGTTTTATCGAAGTTTTATCGAAGTTTTATCGAAGTCTTATCGAAGTCTTATCGAAGTCTTATCGAAGTACGACTGAACTGAACAGTACTGAACACAGTAGAGTGTCTCTTTATTTTCAGTCTTTTAAATTTTTAATCGCGCACCCTTCATTATTGTTTGAATGAACTCAGAACATGTCTGTACAACATTTTGTTGAGATTGGAACATTCTAGCCCTTGCGGCCTTGAGCGCGAACTCGCGTAACGGACAAGTCGAAACCTATCACCCACCGTTGAGGTAGGCCAGAGCATAACAGTGTATGAATTTTAATCGAGCTTGTCAGATGTGTTTACAAATCGCTAATCTAACGTAATGTCATATGTTAGTGTCATAAGCAGTGTCGAAGAGCATGTGTCGAGACATGATTTTACTTGTGTTAGTTCTTTCACTCCTCAACATCGCTATATCACATCATACTGTAACCCTAATGTACAGTAGTCGCTAATGACCTAGCTGTTGACGCGACCTTAAATAAAAAAATAGTTTCTTTCAAGATTGTCAGCCTGTACAAGTAACTCTTCATATTTAGAAGCTGGAAGGTTATTTATAAAGTTGAAAGCTGTGAATGACTACGCTGAAAGGCCTGTTGAGTTAATGAAAATTTGCATGGACTACTGAATGTAGATGAGGAGCAAAAGCAATTTCTGTTGTGTTGTTCAAGAACACCGTTTAGTGTACCCATCATGCAAGAAAAAAACACTGGAAAAAAGTGCTCAGAAGAAAAGTTAAAACAATAACACAGCCTAAAGAATGAAAATTAATTAAATTTGAATACAAAATTATATATTAAACATGTACCGAAAGTTTTCCGCTGATTTACCACAAAACCAAAGATTCTAATATACACATTTCGCGCTCAAGTCGGCACAGGTCAATTTGGCCTATTGAGATGAAATTTTATTTTTGAGTAAATTTGACCCTATAGAAAATAATGAGGGGGTGAACCCAAAAACTTTTGCAAAAAAATTCTGTTTGCAATATAAGGGACCCTAGTACACAGCCCAACAGACGTTTTGGTGCATGTTCGTACTACTTGCTGCAAGTGTTTAGAACTTCTAGGGCGGTACAGACCGGCCAATGGAGGTAACTACACACCCTGTCGTGTCTTTTCAAGTATTTGGTCTTCGCTAGAATTGGGCAAGCTGAGACGATATGATCAATGGTTTCTTCTTGTTCTTAGCAAGTGCGGCTTTTATTATCTTGGGAAATTTTGAGAACCGCTTTATCATAATGTGTTCTCAACGCCTAATCTTGGGCAGCTATTTCAACTGATTCCGATTCTGTCTTCTTTCTTCCCTTTTAAGCCACATAAATGATTGATATACACCTTGTCCGTTCTGTTTGGATATTGTACATGGAGTGATTTGTCTCCACAATATCATTAATATCTTTTCTGCCTCACATTTCATGTTAAGTAGCATCAGAAGTTCAGAGTCTGAGTTATTCTACGTGTTTAGCGTAGTCCTTTTCGTTTTTGCTACACTGAACAAGCGTTGATTTCCCATTCTCCGTTCAGACTAGCCACATTAGTTGGTCATCTTAATGAATGACTACATCCCGACAGTTGTATTGTGCCAGGAGGCTTCAATTTGTCTGAGGCCTCTTTTTCCTTCGTTACGTGACACATAAAGTCGATGTACATCAGCTCGAGGGGTTGGCTACATGTAAGTATTGTAAGCATTTTTCTAGTTTTTCGATCCATGAATCGAATTTCTTGCTTAGTCCAGTCCACTAGTTCGAAATTGTACTTGGCTACAGGTACCGCCAGACTACTAATTGCAGATATTTTATTCCTAGAGTTCAGAGCGGGCTGCAAGACAAGTCTCACTCTTCTGTAATACTCCCTACGTATTCTCTCTTTCGTTGCGTCGTTCGAGATGATCTCAGATTCTTCTATGCCAAGACATTTGTAAGTTATACCTGGTTTAAGATCAGAGAGTGCATAGCAATTTCAATGCTCTCTGACGTTGTCATTTCGCCACTCTTTAAACTGATTTTTGCTTACTTGTCAAGACGAAACGTCAAGCACATATCATTGCTAAAGTCTTTCGCGAGAGACAGCATTTGGAAGAGAAATCACGTCATTCTTAGCAAACATTTTAAGATCATCCATGTAAAACAAATGTGATACCGGTGTTTTATCTCCAGGAGCTTGTAACCAAAGTCAGTGTGCGATAACTATCTAAATAGGGGAATCAAACTAATGCAAAAGAGCAGAGTTGATAGTGAATCTCATTGAAAAATTCTCCTATTAATCTAAATACTTCTTGTTTCTACTACGTCCTTTCCGCGGTGTATTAGTAACCTGGTACTACGCCACTTCACCAGCCTTGCGAAAGTCAATAAGTCTAGGAGTAAATCGATAGATCTCCAGAATCTTTAAAATCAAATTGCGTTGCACACTCAACGACCTTCTAGTAGTCAATCCAAGCCATTAAATTACGTTTTCGTTTCCGTACACCATTCCATACGATTTTATTTAGAAAGATTTTTTTACAGCCATAGGTACCTTTACGATATCCTTTCTTTTCAACTGGCAACAGATGGGTCTTCTCTAAGTGTCTACAAGTATCTAATAGGTGCCAGACAAGTGTACCTATAGTTCTTCGCCAAAGAAATGTCTCCAAAGAAATGTATGAAGCAAATACGCGATGCCGCGTGTGATCCATTCTGGTTATTCCTTTGGGTTTTCAAAGATTTCATTAACAACCTTTGCTAGATGAGAATGTAATGCTGTTATTTTCTTAATCAAATAATTTTAGATCTTATCAATCCTGAGAGTTTCTTGTTTCCAATGTTCTTAATTACTTGGAAGAGGTCCTCTCCCGAGAATTTCTGAACATGTGCCACTGTTTCCACAAGTTCATCTGTAGCGTCGACTTCAGATTGACGCCAAGACGCGTCGTCTTTGTTTTAGGATCTGCTTTCTTTCCAGATTACTGCCTAAAACGTATCGACATCATCTATTGAAGGAGGGGCAACATTGCCATTCTGTTTTTGAGTCAGATTGCGATAGAACCTAATCGCGTCTGTTTCAAACAACTGATTCTGTACACGGAAATCTACTCTACGTTTGTAACGTTTAATGCGTTGAGCCCATTCTTGGGTTTTCTATTTAAGGTTCTCAGCTACGATAAGCCTTGTTGTGTCATTTTGAATTTCGTTTATTTGTTTAACATAGAGTATATTTCACTCCGAGTATCGGCTATTCGTTTCATCATTATTTCAGCACAAGGAAGTACACAGCTGTTTACTCTGTTTGGCTGTCGGCCGTCGGTGTTCGTGGCTGGTTCCTAAATTTATATGAGATACCAGAGATGTGATTGATTTTGGTAATATCTAGAACTCTACCTTGGGTCTTTACCACCTCATTTAAGACTGAATTCGCTGTCTCTATCACTCTCTTAGCTTTAGCATTTTCTTATACTCTTCAACGGTGTTCGACATTTGAATGGTAGCAGACATTTTCGTTCTATCTCGCGTCGAAGGCGGTTTCGCATCATGTCCTTATTTTGTGATTCATAGACACATTAATTTTTACTCCGGTTGTTTCATTGATAAGAGATGCACCTTCAACAGAACCATCGTTTTCAGGATTTTAGACGGTTTTAAATGTGTATAGTTCGTTAGAGAACTTTCCCCGCATTACCGGCAATGTCAGCAAGTTGGCCTGCTGAGAATTTTCACTGCTGATTATGTATCGTCGTTGACAGCCCAGCTTTGAATCTAGGGTAGGTCTCACGTCTGGGTTCCACTCTCTCCATATCTTGAAAACTTCAATTTCTGGGCCCCCATTTTCGCTTTTGCATAGTAAAAGCACTACATCGCCTCCTTCAATGCATCCCGAGTCCCTCTGGCGATGACTTCCAGCGACTGACAATTCTAGGGCTCTGGAACCGTGGGATGACCAGACATCGACAAGGTGACATTAGCTCGGTTTCTGAGCAGGTATGAGATGTTGATAAAACATGGCACGTTAATATTTATTACATTTCTTGTTCTATCCATTTTTCTCCCTGGTTATAAGGGAAATTTCGTAGGAAGCAAGTTAGAGTTCACAGATCACCCTTAGCAATTGGTTATTTCCTGTCATCCAGTACTGTGGCCTCGGGACATCCCCCGCAAGGCCCAGCCAGGGTCCCTCCGATCGCCAGTCAGCATTACCAAACCCCGCGGGATTTTCACTGACTGCTGAAGGCAGCCTCATTGATGCAGGGTGCTAGCTAATGCAAGATTTGGGCCTTCACTCTAATCAGTGGCCTGGTGTGCCAACACAGTTTCTCTCCCGTACCCTCCATGGGCCGATAACAAGAAGCCCCAAGGTTCATCCTTTCCTCTCTATTTACTTCCCGCTGTGGATGTAGCCGCTCCTAACATGGAGACAGTCACGTTTTGCAGGTGCCCGCTGCGGATCAGACGCTGCGGTTAAGTGTTCGAGATGTCTTTTTGCCGTCTTCATAAATCCGTCTTTCTTCTTTGAAGATGCCGTTGAGGCTCTCTTCTCGAGAACTTCATCTGAACCCTCACTTTCTACCTATTTAGCAAGGGAGGTCCTACCAGCACCTAAGCTACCGCCGAAATAGCTCTGTTTCATGGGAGTACTCAAGCTCCACTGTCTTTCTAGGTGGAGTTGTTGGTGTCGTTGTTGTTGTTGTTGTTGTTATTATTATTATTATTATTATTATTATTATTATTATCATCATTATTATCATTACGCATATAATATATTGAATTATTATATACAATTATAAAATAGTATATTATTATAAGACGTTTTAATATCAATTTTATATAATTTAATGTTTTTTGTTTCAGAATTTAGTAGTACATACAATTACTTCAGAAAATAAAGTACATATGCTTTGGCTTATCCCTCAGTACGTGGTTATGACCATGGGAGAAGTAATGTTTTCTATCACTGGCTTGGAATTTTCTTATTCTCAGGTGAGTTAATCTACTCATTTAAGTATTTCTACATTATTCCCCTATTGTAATATTTGCAGTTTCTAAGGATATTAAATTTCGTTCAGGGCTAAGCGCATGGCCAATGTAGACTTACATCATTTAAAACAATTATGCCACCGCTTATTCGAACGTCGCACTTGATTATGGACAACCCAAGAAGAAGACCCCTCGGACACCGCGACGCGCCGTGTCTCTCCTGTGTCCTCCCATTTTCGGGGTTTGCTCGAACCAGTCCCCGCGACGTCCTCATCACTTTCGGATTAAATATCCTTCCGTGGTGAACATTTAGAACCCAATTATAAGCGATAGAGAGGAGTAGCGAATGCAAATTATTATCAGTAATATCCGTCTTGTAAGTGTGTTGAGCTGCTGGGGTATTTTTAACACTGTTCATAAAACACAGGATCCTATTCTTTCAAGAAATACTCATGCAAGATATCGCATGCCTATTGAATTATTTATATATCGTTTAAAATTTAAAGTAATATACAGTTTGTTAGTAACGAAAAGGTATTAAGACCAAACGCATGGAACTAGAGACTTGCAGATGAGAACTGCGCTTTTGCAGACAGGATTTTGTGTGTGTAATATACGGTTACATCGCAGGAATATCTGTTTACAAATACATGCCTGCAAAAAGGCAGTAATCATCTGCAGGTCTATAGTTACAGGATTTTGCACTTATTACCTTTTCATTGTAAACACACTACAAATTATTATATTTACTTGATCGCCTTCTTACTACATATTAACGTAGTCAAAAGAAAGTATTATAATGCTGCAGCAGAAATTTGCTGTTGAGGGTAGAATAATCGTGTCGACTTCGTGTCGATTTATTTGCGGCTGCTAAGGTCATTACTCTATAAGTGTAATGCATGTTTTTGTCGCGGGAGGGGGCAATGATTGTCCATAATCACTCATTGAATGGCGAGATCCGGCGCCGTCGTTCGTCGGCTTGCGGGCATTTTCCCCAACTAGGCATCTCCCACCAACGGGGTACCGCCCCGGCCAGGACAAGCTCTAATGTTCCCGCTGGTCTCCCGATGTGTGGCAGTGTAGTGCGCACGCACGCGCGCGCGCGCGTGTGTGTGTGTGTATGTATGTGTATGTGAGTGTGTGTAAGTAAGGGGTGAGGATAGCACAAGGAAGAAGAGATCGTACGCAGTCCGTAGCCTGTTTGTTAGGGTAGTACTCCGACTTTCGCCTGGTGTCGATCGGAGAAACCACAGAAAACTACCGATCAGAGCAGCGGGCCGCTCAAATTCTCTCCCAGACAGCGGCTGAATTTGACCCAGCTATGTAGCTAATGTCGAAAATCCTACCACCATAGAGAACCTCCCTGTCAGAGGCACTGCAGTGATCAATTGATGCCTTGAGCCACATTTACCGGTCCTTGGCGTCGGAAGAACGCTGAAGTGGCTGAGGACATCAACATATCTCACTGCTGTTATATGTCCTGACTGTGTCAGGATTCACGCCACCAGCTAGATAGTCTGTCCGTGTGTCCGTCAGTCCGTCGGTAATCAACGTTAACACCTCAACCGCAGTGACGATTTTCTCCGAAAGGAATGAAAATGGAATATGTTCTTTAAAACTAGATCTGGAAATAATGTTATTGAAAATATCTGAAATTCTGAATATTGCACATGCACATGTTCAACATTTTTAAGCTTCGGGAAGGTTGCGTTTAGTAGTGTGTCTTGTGCTATAGGGATAACATAACTTGTGAGTTAACTCTCAGGGCTTGAGTTTCAATCCCAATGCGGAGAGAAAATTGTTGCTGGTTGGAAACATTTTTGTAGGTTAATGAAATATTATCATATTCCAAAAACTTTACAAATAATGCAAAAAGGTGGCACAACTAGTTTTGAAACGTGCTGATTTTCTCATTCTAAATTGTTTGACGACAAAAGTTTATTCAGTTAAAATTCACTAAATTTACCGTCTATCTTGTGTTATTCCTTCATTTCCTTACTTTCTCGTTCCTTCATCAATTGCAATCTTGCGCCGGAATACAGCAATTTTTTGACTGAACAATTCTAATTGGTCCTTGGTAACGAATAATTGGATAAATCGTTTTCTCTATGTAGTCAATTACTTATTTTTTTCTCTAGTCGTGATTTTATATTAAGAATCTCGGACATTGAGACTTTAACAAGAGGGTTTATACAAATCAAATAAAATCACACTATTGTCAATGAGAATTTATACATACAAGTTTTACAATTACTGAAATAATTACCTGTTTACACAACCGTCAAAATATCACTTAACTGGTATTACGATTATCAATTTAAAATGTGTGCATTTTCCAGATCAAAAAATAAATATCCTTGTTTCAACAAAATCATTCAATAGTTATGTTTTATACAAACAATTCAATGTGACGTTAATAATCAAAACTAGTGGTGCTATATCAGCAGACACTTTCTCACACTATTTCTATCATTGCTACTTTCGAAAATTCATTGCCATTTTTGAAAATATATATTTTTTAAAGATGGATTGCATTGAATAAAAGCCTGTATAGTGTACTTTTGCAATTTTCGAAAATACAGTGTGTTCACGGAAATTGGGACCAACACCACTTCTTCCTTTGAACAACACGAGGGGAAATTTAAAGAAAAAATTGTGCTTTTGCTTTCATTAAATTTGTTTTAATTGTTTAAGAAATCTCCTAATTTGATGCAAAACTATATAAAAATTACACATATTTCGAAAACTTGTACATGACATTTTCTGTCTTTGAACAACAAAATTTTTTAAAGAAAAAAACATTTCTCTTCAGTATTGCAGTTGTAGGAAGACACCTAACCAATTTAGAGCTTAAGCAAAGGTTGAAAAATCAGGGATTTCATTGAACATTTCTACGAATTCAATGATGAACACCATTTTTAAGAATTCTCTATGCTATTCAAGGATAAAGTTTATTAAAAAAATTTTGAGCCATTTCTAAGAAAATTTTTAAAATGTAGTTGAGGCTTCATGTACTATACATCCAAAAATTTAAACTCAAAAAGTCACAAGCTCGTTATGAGGGCCACTAGTTTTTATGCTGTAATTGTTTCTTCCCACTTAAATTTTAAATTTGAATTAATGGGTTTTTAAATTATTAATTAACATTAATATATCTTAAAATATAATCCAATCTTTTTTCAAAAATTGGTTTTTCAAATACATTTTAGTACCTAACGCATTATCAAAATTATGTCTTACAAAATGTGTTATTTTTCAGGCACCTCTAAGCATGAAGTCTGTAATGCAAGCTGGATGGTTGCTTACTGTTGCATTTGGAAACTTAATTGTAGTTATAATAGCTGAAGCAAAATTCTTTGATCGCCAGGTATGTATTCATTCATATTTTCTATATCTTCAGAAAATAATAATATAATAAATGATCCTTGTGGGTATAGATGTGTAATAAATTTAAAGTGTAATATTTACAAAAGTACAGGGATTTTTGTGTGTTCTACATAAAGCTGCTTCTGTACTCATTTTGAATAAAAAATGAATAAATAAATCTCATAAAAAAACTTGTAGGTTAACTTTGCGACCACAAAACAGAATTTAAAAATGTAATATAATTTTTAAAAAATATTGTTCAAATCAACCTTGTTTGTAATTTATCATTTATGGGGTGCCAGGTAACACCATATTACTCACTAAACAGTCATACTAATATTGTATCCCTACTTATTATCTTAACGTAAGTGCATCTATTTTCAGCAGGATTTCAATGTTAAAGTTAGAATATTAAGAAGTTAGTCTCTAGTATGACTCTTATAATTTATAATTTTATATTGTGTTAATATTGAAATGTTCATCCGTAGCTCTGGGAGTTTGTTTTGTTTGCTGGACTCATGGTTGTGGATATGTTAATATTTGCTCTTATGGCTATGGGCTATCAATATATAGAACCTCCTCACGAAAGTCAAGATCTGCCACTTGAGTCCACTGAGGAAAAACGAGGAATTGATAACACAACCTTCAAGAGAGATGATGAGTAATGACCAATCTAAATAGCTGACAAATCTTCTGTATTTTTATGTTCATAGTTGAAAGGCTGTGTATTCATATAATATAGAAAATATTTTTTATAAAATTGAAACATAATAGATCTCTTCTAAAGGAAAGTTCAAACAGTTGAATTTGAATACTCAGTGATGTACTAGAGCTTTCAAGATATTTCAAGATAATAGGAGTTTTCAAAATTATTTTATTACATAAGTAATGTGAATCATCAAATTGGTGCAAGGAATAAACCTAGCTTTGAACAAGAATGAGAATAATTTTCTAGATGAAATGATTTTGAGTAATTTATGAAATGATTGTGTTGCTTGCACTTTTTTTATCTTTTTTCATTCAATTTTGATCTCCTAAAAGATGCTTTTATTATTCAAACTCAAATACAAAGAAAGAAATTTTCCAAATCTGCAAACAAGTCATTACATTTTAAAAAGGCATCCAGAAACCAAAGCATTTGACTAAATTTAGTTTTGATTTATTTATATTTTTCCTTCATTATAAATGAATGGAAATTATTGTATTTTATGAAAATCAAAAATATCCTGTTTTGCTATTATTTTATGATGTATATTTACCTTTGGACAAGTCTCTATAGATTAATATTCAATGAATGCCTACAGAATCAGAGAATTATGTGTCATCAAAGAAACATTGGATTTACTTATTTACTTGCCAGACAGATGTATTAGACATAAATGTATGTACAAAGACCAACATTTGCTCTTCAATTGTGATAAAGTGATAATTATAGTGTATTTTTATTTGCTGTGAAGAACCACTAAATACAGTATATTTTGTTTATGAAATATTCCCAGTTTGCTTTCTTATTTCAATTGATTGCAATAGATTTGTACATTCATGTAAAGTGCACTATTTTAAATAATTTTAATTGATTTCTCTTTTAAAATTGATATGCTCCCAGTTATGGAAGGAATTTACAGCATCTTATTACTTGAAAATTCCTTTATTGATAAGTTATTATTTATTTGATTCCATTACAATTTAAAGAAAATGTGTGATTCCTAAATATTCTCAATCCAATTAGATATAAATGTATATACATCACAACACAGTATTAAAAGTATACATTTTTATTCAATATTGCTTTATGGCATTTTTAATGTCATAGAACATTAAGAATACATCAGGAAATCATAATAATATAATTTTTTGTGCAATATATTGACTTGTATACTGCTGTGTTTTGGTACCGTTCAGTGATTTGTAGGGATTGAAGAAAATAAAGATGTTTATAGAAGGGCAATGAATGTGTCAAGAGAATGCTTAAGATATGAATGTGTTAATATGACTAGTCGTTTGTAAAATTATTGTAAATGTAATATTATCAATATGGAAAAATTAAAAATATTTTAAAATAAAGAAAAACAGAAATATGCAAGTATTTTAACTTGAAGTAACATAGAAAAAATGTTTTAGAGGTAATTCAAGTTAGGATTAATCTTATGCCCATCCTTTTCCTTATTCTGATATCGTCCTCATTTCTGAAATATATGTATAAAACAAACATTTTTTTCATATATCAGCATATAATACTTAACCTTTTGACTACCAATAAAGGTCATAATTTTTTTTTTTTATTTGTTTACAATTTTCTTGCATAAGAATCTTCTTTTGGTTTTCTTAGTTATTTACCTCAAATATCTTTTTTTTTTTAAATTAGTTTACTGGCATGTATTGTCATTAAGCCTAAAAATTATACCCGGAATTATTCAACATTGTTGGCATTGAACAGTAATGCTTTTGAAACATGATGTGAACATAAACAAAAGGAGCTTGTGAATGTTTGTTGAGCACTTGTATACAAAATTATAATATAGTATCTGAGTTTGTAGTTTTGAAAGTTGCCAATTTCTTCAGGAATATATGGTCATGTTGGCCAAACAATATACAGAAGAATGAGCAAATTATCTAATTGAAATGGATGAATAACACAATCATATCAAGGGCGACTGGAACACTTGAAATTAAAAAGCAAACACATAAACCTACAAATTACATTTCTACCAATATTATGAATGACATTTCAAGAATGTGTGTCAGGAAGGTGTCTCAGTATCACACCAGATCTTAAGGAAATAAGTCCAGACTGATGTGATAACTTTAAAAAGAAAAATATTTTTTTTTATTTAAAAAAGTATCAAATTTATTACAAAATCATAACTATTGTAAAAATGTTTCAAATGATTACAGTTTGAAGAATGAATGAAAATTTTCTGAAAGCAAATAATGTGACTTTTTGTATTTTTTTCTGATTTAGAAATGTTTCGTATGATTAATCAAAACAATTTTGTAGTGGAGTGTATTGAATTTTTCATCAGGTAATTTATTTTTTAATAAATTAGCCATAACTTCTTTTTATTCTGTTTCCCTCTTAAGAATGTCCCAAGCTTCAGCATTGAACACGAAGTAATGCTTCTTAAATGCACTTATAAATCATGAAATGAAGGTATTCTCTTTGAACATGGTAATTTTGACATTGCCTGTTATCCTTATCGGCCAGGGGCTCGGCGCCGTTAGAATCGAGGACGGTCACCCCTCCAGGAACCTCGGTGTCTCGAGTTGCTTACGCTACATGACTTCACGGAGCATTGAAAAGCAGCCCGGCCGCTATTTTGCTTGCGTTCTTACTGCGCCCACGACACTACGTCTTTGCATCCTCCACCATAGATATATCAGCAGATGGTCGACTAAGAGCGAAGGTGTAATGTATAGATTTGGATTTATTTAGTCAAAAAGTAGTAAAAACTGTATGTAACGTACGGGGGAGGTGATTTGCCCACGTTTTATAGAATCTCTTCCCATCATTTTAACTATAAATTGTTGAAATATGAGTAACAGTTAAAGATAAATAAGTAAATAAATCAAAATTTAAAAATCGCGAGATTAGCAACATTTGAAAAACTAGACATTTTCGTTCCCGAGTTATATAAAACATATTTGCAACGATAAACAAACTGCAGATTTGATTTTTCAGCATTGCTAACAAAATATTAACTTGCCCTTACCTCTACTCCTACCACTACAAGCAAAAGGAGAGTTCAACAAAACGTGCGCGTAGTGAAGCTGCATTTATGTCCAGGAGCAAAACAAGGGATCAGTATTTTCTCAATGGATCAAGGAAACTGAACAAAAACCTGATCGAGATGGGGGTCATTGACTCGAAAACAACATTTTTGTCACAAGCATATTAAGTCTTTACAAAAAATACAATAGAAATGTAAACTAATTCATTATACATGACTGTTCTGTTAAAATAAACATTATTTTTCTTTTTGATGAACACTATAGTCTCCAATTATTTAGAAACAGTTATGCAGGAGAAAATATTTTACTTTTAACTTAAATTTGTGTACCGAATACAATTGTTTAATGTCATCTGGCAAAGCGTTGTCACGTAACGTACATGTATTGTATGTGGATTTCTGGTAGTAAGCTGTTGATACTGACACTTGATGAATGTGATTTCTACGACATGTGTTGTAATTATAAATATCAGTATTGCATGAACATATGTTCCCACCGTTTTGACAAATATTACAGATACGTAAATAAATAGGCAAGGCAAATGGTAAGATCCCAAGCTCAATGTAGAGAGGCTTGCAGGGATCACGCGGATGGCATTTATTCGTTATTCGAATTTTCTTTTGCAATCTAAATGTCTGGGCACTACACGATGATTACACTTTTGATCACATAGTGTATGTGTATTCTTGGCTCCATTGGGAAGGTAAAGGAACCCTCATATCGTAGCCCACACTATCTTGTCGTATTCAGCTAGCATCCGCTTCTTATACCTGCCCATGCGCAGGGAGGAAACGGAGGCCGGCTGGATAAACTGCTCGAATGCATACATTTCTTACCTGTTCAGTTCGGCAGACGAGGAAATGATATCCGTGACTGCCTCTTGATCTTTAAGTCCATCCCAGAACTCAACTAGGTTGAAGGTCTCACGGTGTCGCAGATTCCGGGCATCGTCGCCTAGTTCAACCTGCGGCAGACCTGCTCCTCCGGTGTGAAACCTCGTCGGGACACACCGTGACCACTCAATATGGCATTTTCCGATCTTTACTCTGAGGTTTAGCCTCTGCAGGACTTTTCCCGCCGTGTTAAGGTGGGCCTGTTGCTCGTCTGGGGTCATGGCGAGCAGCGCCAGATCATCCGCGTAGGCGAGCACCGGCGGGGATCCCACTGGACCATTAACATCTAGGTCTCTCAGGACCGTATTTATAACGCAGTTGATTAATAACTCCGAGAAAGGACAGCCGGGCGTATCCCGCAGGCGACAGCTACGGGCCCCGTCGGGCCCTCCCCAGTGAGAACCTTAGTGCTTGCGCCGCGCTAAATGTCCTTCACGAGCGCGAGAAAGAAACCCCGACTCCGGCCGCGTTCTGTGCCATCTCTATGGCATAAAATAATTGTGAGAGTTACTCTCCTACAAAAACACGACCAAAGGTGAACTATTTTTCTAGTCAGCTCAAGCCGTTATAACAAAAGTACGGGCAGACCGATGTTGCTGTTTGGTGTGTCTACCTTCCTAGAGTCAACTAACGGTTAAAGCAACTGAAAATACACACGCCAACATTTAATTTAACAGGCACTCTTTAAAGTGGTGGGTGGTGCAAAGCCACACTCTGTGGTCTAAAGTCACGCAAATGACTATTTCTTTTTACCTATCCATCTAGTATGTGGATTTTTGCGTCCGTATCAATTGCTAATGATCACACCCAGTAATTAAATAAATCAATAATTATAGCGGAAGGAATATATTATTAAAATAATAGGATAAATATATTTTTTTAGGTCAAATTAAAACTCAAGATTTTTCAAAGGGCAACGTCTCGGTGGTTTATTATATTACCTGTATCAAGGACCACACAGAGAAGCCATTAACGTGTTTTACTATCCTACACGTAGAATATAATTCATTATAATATACTATATTCATGTATTTTTGCAACCTTTAAATATGTCACAAAAATATATTTCAATGTATCTAAGGATATAATGTCTATAATTTGAAAATTAATTTAAAAATATTTTATTTACTATTACAACCAGGAAATGTTGGCTTTTGAAACGTCGGAAACACAGAAAATATATTTTATTATTATTCTAAAAGAAAATGGAAAACCTACTTAAAATAGAAAATTACCTTCCACTTGAAAACTACGATTTCCGAAGATTAAACGTCCCTTGAACGGGCGTTGATACAACTACGTGTGCTCAGCCACTACAGCCCACAACTCAAACTACAACGTACGTCAAAGGTTTGGCTTCATTCACAATTCAAACTTAAACGTAAATATTACGTAGCTGAAAAACCTAGAAATGAGCTATTAAGCGAGACCATTCATGATGCCTCGATGTAAGCCGCAAAGCCTTAAACTTAAGACTTCACAAGCATTAAGCGTTTACGTCAAGTGATATGGGAATTGTACCGAAGACCAATCAGAGAGCAGCATGAAAGAAACACACATGGATTGTGGCTATATCATTTCATTACTGTTATATACTGAACTAGTTTGCGAACGGATTGGACGCGACTAGTGAATTCGTAGTAAGAATTTGGGCCATTTTTCTTGTGACTTTAACTTGACCTGACGAATAAAATAAGTACGTTCTACAAATCACTCGTGAATTTGGTACAAGAGAAGTGAAGGAAATGCGAGCTCTAAATCAACAGCTACTCGCATTTATACATAATGACAAATTGATAGGAAAATTAAAGAAAGATCTAGAAACCATGGTGGAAAGATCTTTCCATCATTCAAGAAACGAATAGACAATCGATCAAGCTTCAATACCTTGAAATCTGATTGTCTCAGATGAAACACGTTCCAGCTTACGTTCGTCATTTGTGAAGGCTTGTTTTTTCGTGTACATTTTACTGCTAAGTTTATGGTATTCCGTTACGTTTGCGTTTGCATTGTGAATGAGGACTAAGGCGCGTTTTCTAGCTTTCAACGCGTGACGCTCGCTGGCAGTAAAAGCGTTCGTGGAACGTTCCGCATAAGATATAATTAATATACAACGCACGTTATTTCACCCAACGCTCGTGTCACACTAGCCTTAAAAGGGAAGTGACTTGTGGCCTCAGAAGTATAGATTCACGAAGGAAGTGTCCTTGTAGTTTTCCAAATCTCGTCCCAGGCTGTCATCAGAATGTGGTTTGCATGTTTATGTATTTTGAAGGTTGTTCTAACTATATTTGTATCATGATGAGAACATTCCCACAGAGCAGGCAGCATGTGAACCAGTATCGACTGGTGGAAACAGGACTTAAAATATTTTCGTCTTAAATCTCAAATTGTTTTGGATTACAATATTTATATGAATATTGTCAGTAAAACATTTAGAAGAGAATTATTTTGTTTGGACATATTAATTTTCCAGCCGTGCAATCTGAGAAATTCACTCTCGGACCCGGGATGGGGTTTCTTTGATTACAAGACATTCAGGAGTTAAATTCAAATAATTAGGGTTGGATAATTAACTGTTGTCAGAATGAAATAAAATACACTTTATTAACATACATTTTTATGCTACATAATTCACATTCAGTACAAATATATAGTATAATCACTTTCATTTTATTCGCAGAGATATTTATATCACATTCTCCATAATCTGGAAATGCCATAGTAATAATCAATAATACATTTTTTTGGGGGGAAATGTTAAGTTCGTAAGGTTAATTGTTCATAGGAAAGTGGCGAACAAGAAACTTCATACTCGCCCATTGACAAAATTGGAGGGTTGAGACGCCACTTCCCTTTTCTCTAGTCTAGTCAAGGTCCCTCTGAGTGTGCACACGCTGGTTAAGGCACAAAGGAAATTATCCTGGGTTAGTAAATCGAATTGCAGGTACTAGCAGTGATATCAGTCTAATATAAGTTGTCTAACGTTCCCAATGAGCAGGACGCAAAATATAATTACTGTTCGTTCTTAAAAATATCCAAAGAAACAGGTAAACCATGTGGTATTCTCTACTGACCGAAGGTATTTACAGTCACATTAACACATCATTACGTTTACCAAATTCCTTAAGAAACATTTATATTCATTCTCAGCACAACGTTCAGAATTTGGCATATTTATTAAATGTGATCTTGAAATTACGAAGCATTTCACCCATAAAAAAATGAAGCATGGATAATGTAACAGGTTATAGAGGTATTACCTAATTTCACAATCAATGAACAATTATGTCATTAATTCTTTTTCATGCGACAATAACTACACTGGTTACTCTATAGGCGATATATGAAAAATGAACCTTTAAGTCGTTCAAGATTAGACACTCCTATGATGAAAACCTTCAGTCAGCAGATCTTTGAAAATGTATAATTCTTCCTCAGCGAAATAGAATTTAATGTTTATGAAATGAATAAATGTGAACGAACCACCCTGAAAAGTGGCATAGCCAGAAATGTAAAAACAATGGGATCAAAAATATCATATTTTAGTTATTATGAATCTCTAAATATGGTGTAATTGACATGTTTTAATTTTAATCGTAGCTAGTATCGAACGTCAATTTTTTATTGAATTCACGAAATAAATGGGTCCCAGGTCTTCCAATTAAGTTACTATCTAGTGGCTCTTTGCAATGCATTTATTGAAGTATTATCATACTTGTATGAAGTGCTTTTTCAGTTGCATGATATCATACGTCTTCATTCATTTCAAGTTTGTTTAATTCAAATTATTAAATAGCCACTTTACTGGCATTCACATTCGGTTTTCTAAAATGACTATATTTTTAGAGACTCAGTGCACTAAATTATGTGGTCCAAGTCATTTTCTTCGGCTAGTCCACCTCCCTTGGGCGCCAATTCTACAACGAATTAATTGCATGCAATTTCCCGTTTCAGTAGTTTGCACTATTCAGGCCCCTAGAACTCATCTCTGATGTATCCGAACCTCCAATGAGCAACTCCAAAGAAGAGGTACATGCTTTCTGGTTGGCAGGTGCCTATTAACACAGTTTCTGTAAATCAAAACTTGCATAAATGATACATTTTAATGACTGCCATACAGAACGCTGATAACAGCTCGCTCTATTTACTCCATTGTGTCCATTATTGTAAACAGTTCACGTTCGTGTTTATTCCACATGCCTTAGTCCAGCAGGATTACATTTTAATCATTTGGAAGAGACTAGGTAAAGTACATGGTATATTAAAATGAGGAAGCCCAATCGAACAAAATTTTCTTTGCAAATTCACAAATATTCATCGTGGTTCATGGTAAGTTGCCACCACTGATATTTCTGAACTCACTAATGATATTTCTCATGAAATCGTGGAGGGGAAATTCACGCCATCAATAAAGACATAATATAATGTACGAGTGCAAATGATAAAATATGGTAGAAAAGGGGTCAGTAAACACAGACTGTCTGTTGGTCAACATTGGGAAAGTCCAGGGCTGCCAGAGCGGGGCAGCAGAGAACAACGGAACATTTTGCTAATCTCGTAATCGAAAAGCACTAGAAATTATCGCTTACTTGTATATTCTTCGTTCGTGCATGTTTAAGATGAAATAGGCTTTAAGAGATTAGGCTGGGAGAGAGAGGGAAATGCAGACTTAAGTGGTCAAGTCGCGAGATGTCTTAGAAATCTAAGAGTGTCTAAACCACTCACCGAGGAGCTCTCCGCTCCATAGCGCTGCCGTGTCACGAGGCAAGCGACCACGAGGCTTGAGAACATCCAGAGCCTGCAGACGACATCGGCACTACATAAATTGTTAAAAATATATTGAAGTTTAATGATAATTGCTTGATAATTTACATCTGTTTAATATTAACTTATTCTGTCAATAACGACTATTTAACGCAACAAAAAGAACAAAATACATTGAACTATTACAAAACACAAAAATGCTTTATTCAACAACGTATCGATCTTTTGTTGGGGTCTTCATTACTTTGTCTTTACAAATATCGCTCAAGCCATGCCTTTCTCACCAACTGTCTTCAAGGAGCAGTTTTCTCACTTGTTCAATTTTTCGTAAAGACAATCCAATAAAGTTCTCCAATAAAATGTCGGAACGTCGTTTGAGAAAACCATTTTTGTATTGTTGAAATAAACCGTTAAAGTAGTGTATTATGAGGATAAGTATCTGCACCCAATGTTTATAATTGATCACAACAGTACGCAATTTAAAATGAGACAATTTTTTAACACGGGTAGCTTGTCCTTGGTGTACTTTTTAAATGTAGTTGGTCCATCAAAGCACCAGCTTTCTGTTACACTCAGGAAAATAATTTTTATTGAGCAGCAAGCCATGGATGCACTATTTCGTCTAGTTGATAGGCAAATCTTCGGCCTCTTAAAGCATTTTAAAGTGGGCCAAACCGATGGAAATTCCTGGTCTGGCAACAAAAACATGGGAGAGCGGAGAGTGGTGCAGCCATGTTTACGTCACAACTTAAACGAATATTAGGTGATAACGCTAAAATGTACAATACACAGTGAACGATGTCATCTTGAGGCTGGTAAGTGCAGAAAGTTGTACAGTCAATCTGCAGACAACTAGAACGAACGTGCAGAAACTTATTGACTTATCCTCGTACTTTGTTTTCCATTTTGGTTTGTTAAATGATCGTTAATGATGATATAAATATATTGAATGTTGTTATAATGTTCAGTACACTTCAAAAAATCCACTCTGCACATGTATATGATTATCAAAAATATTCTTCGAGTCGCAGATCCGTAACCGTTAATCCTACAAGGAGATTTTTAATTTTTAAAGCTACCTATATTGTCGGATTGGATGTTGCAGAATGTAGTAAAACGGAAGCTACGTTGATTTGGCGTTCGGAATGTCGATGCAAAAAAATTAGTTAGCTACCATTTTGCAGAAAATTTTAGGCACGCTAATTTTTGCGAAAGTGAATTATTTCTGAACACAATCATCAAAGAGCTTTGAAGAGGATCGTAATTCGAGACAGAGGAATAATTCAAACATGAACGGTCATTTACAGATATCCACAATCTCTGAAAATATACGAATTTAATAGAACAAGACATTTACGCAATTTGATCACAGGTAGATGTGAAATGTAATTTGGGTGGTCTGTTACTTTTTTAAAGTATACTGAACACTAAATACAATTTAGTACCTCATTACAAACACGTATCACATTGAAATACCCAAAATTGAACTTACACAGCTGTATTAACAGCTTTAAAATCATGCACAAATGTGTTTCTTGTATTAGGTTCTAGCTACTGATGTTCCAGTATCATTTTATCAGAAAGCATTCTTAAAACGCAAAATATTTTCCATTGAATTCATGCGGAGAGTGGGTAGGGGATGAGCTCGGCCCTACTTGTAATTTGTTCTTGATCCGCGTTAAGTTTTTTGTTGTTATTTGATATGGGACCTATCCTGAGAGAGAAAGAAAAAGATAGAGAATGAGAAAGAGAATCGACAGCGTGACAACCACAGTTAAAATGGTTGTGTGAACGTCAGTCTGTTTGTCAATTTCTTAACATTAATTGATACATTGAAATATATCCCGACATGCCACTATAAAGTATTAATGACAATTTGTAAATCAAGGTATTAGTATGTAAGCAATATTGGAAATGTTAAAACTTTATTTCAATTCTTTATTAAAATAGGAATTTTTTTAACACAAGTCTATTACGTTAGGAGTTTTAAAGCACGTTTATCAACGATATGTGCAATTCAGGTCTCGTAGAAGATATTGAAATATTTCTTGGACCCGTCAAACACATGATCATTTATGAACTCATCTCAAAAGAAGTTTCTGCCTGGTAAATGTGTATGCATTTATAATCCTTCTAAACTTTCAATTTAACACTGATTCGAATCTAAAATCGATACTTTGTTTCGCAAATTTGGCAAGCATCGTTCCATGTGAAATACCAAAAATAGTGGCCCAACATTTCATTTTTTGAAAATTTCAAATATTCTAACATAATAAAAACATTACCGTAAGATTTTCTAAAGTTTTCTAATAATCTATTTTAGAGGTATTAAAATCCAACCCGCCGTATGAAAACAAATCCAACGCAAAATGTTTAGGCCTCTTCTTTCATGACTATCAGAAGCCCCTTAGTTTACTTTGAAGTTTAGCGGGACTAATAGACAAAATGACAAATCGCCCAATCCTCAGAAAGGGCACAGCCTGATGAAGGAAATATTGCATTTATCATGCCAACAGCTTTTACTAGAGAGATGCCCTGACCAAAGTGGAAATGTCACATCAGTAGTAAAACCGACGTCATTCCAGGATCATCGACTTCGGTGCAGACGTTTGATTTATATCAGTGATGGCAAAGTTTTGAGTCTTGAACAAGCTGCAGCTGCACGTCTCTCGACAAAAACGTTTGCTTAGGAAACAGCAGTCCCGCCGATCGCTGGACAAGGG